GAACGCCCTGATTTCGCCTCAAAAACAGACAGCCATGGATGTTCACCATTGTACCTAGCTTGCAGCAAAGGTCACCTTGAGACAACCAGAGAACTCCTCAGATCTCTCTTATTTACAGGACCATGAAGGTCGAACTCCCTTCCACTGGGCAGACATCAAAGGTCGAGTTAACAATGTCGACGAAATACTGTCCATGAGCCTTGAATTGAATCTGCTGAGATGGTTGAACTAGTGCTCTGCTGGATATGGATGTGGATCTGTGGTCTCCACTTATAGATAGTGCATCCTGGACAGATTGTCTTTTCTTGAAGCTCTAATTGTGGAAGACTTCTCACCATACTGTGATTCATCAAGATTCGCAACTTCTTATATTCACGGCGACGGCGTATGGTTTCAGAAGAGAAAGGAGTGTTGTTCCGATCATCTTCATTTTCTCTCTCTAGAAAGCTCTGGATTTCTCTCTCTATATGTATGTATGTATGTAAGTACGTGTCTGTGTGGTTGTGGGTAAGAATGGCGGTGGATTTGACTGAAATTTGTCTGATATATGTTTAGGACCTTAGACATCAAAAAATAATTTTGTGGACCTCTTCCATTACGAAAAGTGGGAGAGGGACCCTAGACCGATTTTCCCTATAAAATATACAGTTTTTTAAAGATATTCGAGACATGCGTCTAACTTTAAAATTTTTGAAGCAATTGTGTTAAAGTTTGTTTTAAGGGTTAAAATGATAAAATAATTTGAAAAGATTATATTATCTTTACATGTTTGTCCACTATCTACTTATTTATTCATATCACTTATCTGTTCACCTATCTATTCACATCACATGTGTTACTTTTTTGTCTACTTAATCTGTCTATTCGTTCATATTACCATCACCAACAATCGCTACTATTGGTTAATTTTTCAGTAACTTTTTCGACGGCAGTAATGGTTTGACGATGATCTAACGACAATGAGATAAAAATGAGAAAAAAAAATCTTCAAAATAATAATGTCTTTCTCACCAAACAATTTCATTAATTATATACTTATTTTCATAAAAGATTAATTATTGGACTAAATGCCATATTCTCATAAAAATGAACTTACCACCGACTATCCTTTTTTTTATCATGATTCAAATAATAAAGTTAATTAAATAATTTATAGTAGTTCGCGTGAGATACAATTTTATTTTTATAATATAATATTGTCTCTTATGATGATGTTAACTAAAATAATTTTAAAATTTCTTATCTAAAATCTCTTAGTTGTGTTTGTATTTAAGATTTTTTTTTAAAGATTGGATTTATATCTAAGATTTGAATAATGATTTATAGATAAAATATAGAAGAAAAAAATTAATTTACATTTTATTTATATTTTTTTATATTTTATTTTCCTCCACAAATTACTACCCAAAAGTGTGAGTTGATGGATTGCTTGGAACTTCACTTGATCATCACATGATCAAGACATGTTAAGCTCAATCTCACTGTAATTATGTGAGATAAAAATCATGTCACATAAAAAGGAAATGTACATATAATCTAATAAAATATTTACTTTATAATTAATATTTATTTTATGATCATGTGTGCAAAAGTTTACAGTTTATAAATAAAAAAGATGAATAAAAACAGCATATGTTTCAAGAGTTTTAAATATCTAAGTCAGATTGATATTTTCATACGACAAATTTTCATACTTATCAATTGTTGTAAATTTTTTTTAAAAAGCAAAAAAAGTAGTTTCCCTATAAAATATACAGTTTTTTAAAGATATTCGAGACATGCGTCTAACTTTAAAATTTTTGAAGCAATTGTGTTAAAGTTTGTTTTCAGGGTTAAAATGATAAAATCATTTGAAAAGATTATATTATCTTTACATGTTTGTCCACTATCTACTTATTTATTCATATCACTTATCTGTTCACCTATCTATTCACGTCACATGTGTTACTTTTGTGTCTACTTAATCTGTCTATTCGTTCATATTACCATCACCAACAATCGCTACTATTGGTTAATTTTTCAGTAACTTTTTCGACGGCAGTAATGGTTTGACGATGATCTAACGACAATGAGATAAAAATGAGAAAAAAAATCTTCAAAATAATAATGTCTTTCTCACCAAACAATTTCATTAATTATATACTTATTTTCATAAAAGATTAATTATTGGACTAAATGCCATATTCTCATAAAAATGAACTTACCACCGACTATCCTTTTTTTTATCATGATTCAAATAATAAAGTTAATTAAATAATTTATAGTAGTTCGCGTGAGATACAATTTTATTTTTATAATATAATATTGTCTCTTATGATGATGTTAACTAAAATAATTTTAAAATTTCTTATCTAAAATCTCTTAGTTGTGTTTGTATTTAAGATTTTTTTTTAAAGATTGGATTTATATCTAAGATTTGAATAATGATTTATAGATAAAATATAGAAGAAAAAAATTAATTTACATTTTATTTATATTTTTTTATATTTTATTTTCCTCCACAAATTACTACCCAAAAGTGTGAGTTGATGGATTGCTTGGAACTTCACTTGATCATCACATGATCAAGACATGTTAAGCTCAATCTCACTGTAATTATGTGAGATAAAAATCATGTCACATAAAAAGGAAATGCACATATAATCTAATAAAATGTTTACTTTATATTAATATTTATTTTATAATCATGTGTGCAAAAGCTTGCTTGCAGTTTATGAATAAAAAAGACGAATAAAAACAGAATATGTTTGTAGAGTTTTAAATATCTAAGCCAGATTGATATTTTCGTATGACAAATTTTCATACTTATCACAATTGTTGTAAATACTTTTGAAAAAGCAAAACAAGTGGTCACGCCAACATAACTGTTCACTTTACTTAATTGTAAAAATAAATTCAAACTTTTGTTTTGCCTCGAAAAAAAAGTAAAAACTACAAATAAATTTGCTAATAAAAAAGATTGTATAAAACACTTGTACACAATTAAAACTGTAAATAAATTGAATTATTCTTGAGCAAATTGGCTTAGTTCGTTTAATAAATGAGTTGAACTCTAGCTCAAATAAACTCAACTCATTTATTATTTATTTAAATAATATAAACAATAATAATAAATTATCAAATTTCATTCCGAGCTGAGCTTGATTAGTATTAACAAGCGAATGAATTTTCGAACTAAACTCAAGCTGAATTTCCAAACTCGATAAACAAACTAATTAAGCTTGAGTATTACAAAACTCAACGCAGCCCGGCCCATTTACAATTCTACACAGAATGATATATGCATTTTTATAATCCTTTCACTTTCACTTATTGTTTGGTTCCAATTTTTAAAAAATTATATTTTTTCACTTGATCATCACATGATCAAGACATGTTAAGCTCAAACTCACTGTAATTATGTGAGATAAAAATCATGTCACATAAAAAGGAAATGTACATATAATCTAATAAAATATTTACTTTATAATTAATATTTATTTTATAATCATGTGTGCAAAAGCTTGCAGTTTATGAATAAAACAGAATATGTTTGTAGAGTTTTAAATATCTAAGCCAGATTGATATTTTCGTATGACAAATTTTCATACTTATCACAATTGTTGTAAATACTTTTGAAAAAGCAAAACAAGTGGTCACACACCAACATAACTGTTCACTTTACATAATTGTAAAAATAAATTCAAACTTTTGTTTTGCCTCGAAAAAAAAGTAAAAACTACGAATAAATTTGCTAATAAAAAAGATTGTATAAAACACTTGTACACAATTAAAACTGTAAATAAATTGAATTGTTCATGAGATAATTGGCTTAGTTCGTTTAATAAATGAGTCGAGCTCTAACTCAAATAAACTCAGCTCATTTATTATTTATTTAAATAATATAAACAATAATAATAAATTATCAAATTTCATTCCGAGCTAGAGCTTGGTTAGTATTAACAAGCGAATGAATTTTCGAACTAAACTCAAGCTGAATTTCCGAACTCGATAAGCAAACTAGTTAAGCTCGGGTATTACAAACCTCAACTCAGCCCGGCCCATTTACAATTCTACACAAAATGATATATGCATTTTTATAATCCTTTCATTGTAACTTATTATTTGGTTCCAGTTTTCAAAAAATTCTACTTTTTTATTTTTCGTATTTTAATATTTTAAATGAATTTTTTTAATATTTTAAGCAATTCTTTTTAGATTTTAGACACACCTAACATAAATACACTTAAAAAGTACAATATTTGTGAAAATAATATTTAAAGAATACACTAAATACCCAAAAATACAAAATTTCAATACATTTTTCGTATGTTTGCGTATTTATTAATTTTTTAAAACATTTTTTCACAAATATTTTACTATTTAGATACATCTAAATAAAGTGCATCTAAAAAAGTAAAAAAATTACTTAAAATTTTAAAAATATTAACTAAAAACTAAAAAAAAAAAAAAAAAAAAAAAATACTCAATTTTCAAAAAATTAAAACTAACCACACTGGCATTGTAAATGAAAATGAAAATGTATGAAACTATTGCTTTTGTATACACCACTTCCGATTTCACAAAGTTGATTATTATATCTCATCAATTAATTATCTTATAGGTCAACTCCCCATGCAAGCCGTTGTTGTCTACAAATGTGTCATCACCCTCTGTTTTTCAAGATCCATCATCACACATAGTGGCTAAAAAGTGGATGATGTGCTATGTATGGTGTCACTGTCAATTAAAACACACAGAAATGTGTAGAATAAGAGTTCCATACTACATTATTAATTGGGCATTTTCCATCCAAATTGCAGGCCATTTTCATCTCTACATAGATATCCTCTACATTTTTCAAAGTTCAAAACTTTCAAAACAATCAACATCAATGCACTTTTCTTCCTCAAAATAAATAATAATAATAATAATAATAAAATCAATGAACATTAACAGTCAAAACACTAGTATAATTCACAAAACATGGCATATTAACTTTTTCATTTCTTCTCTGCTATTTTCAGTTAAGTCAATTATTTTCAGTTTAAGCTTTTGTCATTCAAATGCATCTCACAACCTCATTAACCTTTCAAAAAGAACAGACATGAATCACAAGGACTACTACTGTTGTTTCCACCTCCACAAGGCAATCATGATGATGATTGTCAAAGCCATGCCGACATATTTAATCCATGTATCAACCCGAAGACGCCTCTCAATCACCCTTAACACGGAATTTGATAATCCGATTGTGTTGAGTACATCCAGTGCCTTTCGTTGTGCTCTCTGCACCCAAAAATACAAGTTTAACATTAGTCAGGTGTTTAAAATCCGATTCATACACTGAACTGAATGCAATAACAAATGCAATCATGCAGAAATATCACTGCAGAACACAGGACAAAAACCAACTCTTCCTGCCATTCTTCAGCATGTATTTCTATACAAACTTGTAAAACTGTGTTTGGATCAAGGACATTAGAAGAGACTTATGGAGGCACCAAAAAAAAAAAGGGGGAAGGAAAAGTGAAGGATCCAAACACAGCCTTAAACTAAAAACAAAGGGAGTGGGTACCATTCATCTTCACCATCTATAACAAGGCACACAGGAGAAGGAAAACAGGTAGCAATAGAAACATGCTGATCAAAAAAAGGTAGTAATAGAAACACAGCTATGCTATGCTCACAGAAAGAATTTTGCACAGAACAGGACATATGTCACCCAAATGTTCGCATCTATAGTTGTTGAACATTTTGTCTCACATCTGTGCATTTTGTGTCAGGTATTGTCTGTGTGCATAGACTTTTTGATAAAAATAATATAACATAACCCTGAATCAGCAGCAGGGGAGCACAACAAAGTGATAAGGATATTAGGGTAAAGCATTGTCAGAATGTGACAAGGATATTAGGGGAAAAGGCTAGATATAAAGGCCTCGTTTAGAAAGTTGACTATTTTAATTGGCTATTTTAGTTTTTGACTATTTTAGTAGGCTAAAATATTTGTGTTTAGGAAGAGGGTTGGATTTTTTTGTAGTTGGATGTGATGTTTGTGAGAGAAAAAATGAAATGATTACGAGTTTGATGTGACATTTTGTCTAATTGACTATATTAACCTATTTTGTCTTTTTGTGGATTTTAGCCCAAAAAGCTAAAAAAATCCTTTCCCAAATATGGTTCAGAGTCGATAGTTCCAAGGAAATAGAACAAACAGAACAAACTAAAAACAAAACCAAGCTTCTAGAGATCAAGTTACTGTAAATCTGTAAAAGAGCACCAGCAAAACTAAAGAATATAAAACATAAAAATACCCTCCAGAATTGGGCCATCATTTTCCTAGTTCAAAAGTCCCTTCCAAAACTTAAAATTTTAGTTTAGTTTCACAAAATTGAATTTATGCTATGAATCAACTTATATGGAAAAATAAAAAATAAAAAGTAACATTGTTTTGAGAATTATGCAGTGCCTCTCAGCCCCATTCCACAATTTAGAATCACTACAACAGACCGAATATAATCTTTGAGAAACAAAAATTGATCCAACTTTCATTTACTAACTATGCACATGGAGAACTGGATGCATTCCGAATTAGCAAACCAAATTTACACTGCATTTTAATGCAAAAGTTTTTATTAGCTTTTGACTTAAAAACTGTAGAAATCATTCAGAAGAAATTTACATTGGACACCTTGGTTCCCTACCCCCATGCTTTCAACCTAATAAAGGAGGTATACAAACAGCCACTCAACCACAAGATAAATTGTTGGTTCCAATCCCAAGAAGTACCTTCTTGCGAGTTTGTAGTCTTTAGACTCTTTGTGACCATTAATAGTACACAAATACAGACCCTACAGCTGGATGTTCTTGTGATATTAACATCAAAACAGATACTCATTAATAAATAGCTGGATGTTCTTGCGATATTAACATCAAAACAGATACTCATTAATAAATGTGAGAGTGTGGAGCATGTATAGCAATTGCTTTGTTACAGATACCTTCAAGCGCTCCCTTTGGCCAGCATATTGGGAAAGAATGGCCACTCCGGTTGCATAAGACTCTTCCAGCATTCTGGCTGAGGAACGGGCAGATTGCATTGCTTGCGCTTCATCATCGAAGATTCTCAATACATGAGATGATTCCCCATTCTGAAACATATAGCAAACAAATTAGATGGTGAGGTTTAATAATGTGTGAAGACCAACAGATAAAAACTGACAGCTAAATCTATCAAAGAGGTAAAATATCGCTCACAGCTCTTTCAAGCAGTTCAGCCCTCTCTCTAGCTTCTTGGGTCTGTCTCTGATTCCCTAAGAAGTACTTATCCAGACTTTCTTTCAATGAGTCAGCCTCTTCAGCAACTTGTTCAACTTTCCTGTGTCAACAAAAGAATATCAATGCATTGAGCAACAGTATACAACCATCAAATTGTAACAGCAGTTAGAATATAAGACCAAATTCCTAAGAACTATAAACCCTTGTCAAAGGAAACGGTAAATAACTTTGTAAGAAACCAACTAATTATAATTAGTGTATTCATGCAAGTGAAAGATAACTTTATTAGGTTTTTCTCTCCTAAAGCCTAGACTTGTTTGGTGACATCATTTGCATGAAAATAACCCATGCAGTGGTTGCATCTAATTACACCTTTCATTTTAAGGTGAAGAAAAGCATAATAATTTATGCTTTCACTTTCTTTGCATGCATTTAAAATGCAGAAAAGTTAATCTTTGGATAGGGTACTAGTCATCTCATTTGAATTCAGTCAGTCCATTATGCCATATAATTCATTTTGAACTAACCAGTCATGCTTTTGGTGGTTAGAGAAGCATGTAAACAGTTTAAAATATTTGAAGGTGAGGTTGGAGGTAAAATCAGTCCATGAAGGGAAAGGTATGGTTGTGCACAGGTCAGCACAGGGTAGATTGGATAAATTTCTCCAGCCCTCCCTCCCTTGGCAGAATAAGATTTTTTTTTAACTGCTGTGGGAAAAATTGTGCTGTTGGTTATTTCCTTGATAAGAGGCTGTCATTTCCTGCTGTGGATATGGGCTGAATTTGGGTTGGTTGACCTACTGTCTAGTGACAAGGGATTTTTCTTCTTTTTGTTTCAGGTCCTTGGCACTTTGGGGGTAAACTCTTTATTCTTACGAAGTGGGAACGTTTGCTGAATTTGGAGAAGGATCAGCTGTAAAAAATTCCTATTTGGGCCGAGTTCTATAACATTCCTTTGGAGTTTTGGACTGAGCAGAGTCTGAGTTATATAGCTAGTGCTGTGGGGAGGCCTCTTTATGCTGATAATATGACTGAATCTTGCACTACAATTAGTTTTGCTAGTATTTGTGTTGAGATTGATGTTCATTCTAAATTGCCCCAGTCTATTGATTTAATGGTGGGTAATGGAGGTTGTATTGAGATTGGGGTGAGGTATTCTTGGAAGTCATCTAATTGTACTACATGTTTGGTGTTTGGGCATGGTGAGGTTTCCTGCCCAAAAAGGCCTGCTGACACAGTTGCAATTAAGGAGAAAGTTTGGGTGGTTAAACCTAAGGTTGCTGTTTTGGATGTCTCTAATCATCCGGGTACTGAGGATATGTTTCTTCTACTTCTGCTGCTTTTGAAGTAGTGCATATGGATGTTTGTGTATCTGCTCCTATTGAATCTTTTATGCTGTGTTTGGTTGGAGTTTTTGAGGTGAGATTTGAAAAAGGAATGAGAAATGTAATGCTATTTATGTTTGGTTATAATAAAAAAATATATGGGAAAAGAAAGGGGGTGAGAAATAAATAAAGAAATAGGATACATTTTAGGATATCAATTCTATTTTATAACCAACACAACCAAACATAGTTAGGATTTGGAATTCTATTAATTCTTTCTCCTTTTCCTTTCATTTCCATTTCTCTTTCCATTTCCCTTCCCAAATCCCCCAACCAAACACAGCGTTAGTGGCTGTAAATACTATCTCTTAATAATGGATGACTATACCAAGTTTGTTTGGTTTTTTCCTATGCATTATAAGTTTGAAGTTTCAAGAGACGGAGAAACCATACAACAGAATTGCATGTGATTACCCTCTAGTACATACAAACACATACAACAGAATTACACAGTTCCTAAAATTCAAGAGACGGAGAAACCAAATTACGCAACAGCCTAGTGAAAAATGCGATGAAAGAAAATTGAAGATAAATTGCAAAAACATTTCCTACTGAATATCATCAATACAAGACTAATTTCAAACCCTAGGAATAGAAAAACAATCAAAACTCGAATTAATCAAACAAATAACATACAGATCGAATAAAAAAGGTTGATTTCGAGAGAATTGAAACCTTTTCCAGAGATCGCGCTGGGATTTGGCGGAGACGGAGCGCCAAAGGCGGTCCATCTCGGCGCAGAGGGATTGGATCTGAGAGATGTCACGCTTGATTGCGAAAGAGAGTTCGGGGGTGTCCACGGCGGCGCCATTGGAGGAGGAGGAGGAGAACTCGAGGCGCTCGAGCCTCTCGAGGCTGTCCCTAGTTCTCAGTAGCAACCTCTTCGAGCTCTGGTATAACTCCGACAATGTCCCACCTCCACCTCCTTCCATAGCCAGACAGAGAGAACCGGCCTGTGTTTATGCAACAGTTCTGCTCCTCTCCGATCAAAGACAAGTTATTTTTGAAGGACAATTACTGATTTCACACGACTTCATTACAAAATCATCACCAAAAAAAAAAATTAGGGGAAAAAAAAATTAGGATATGAGTTTATAACAAATTAAATTTTTAGTTTTGTTAAATTAAATTTTTAAGTTTAAATTTATTTTTAATTTAAATTATTTCTCTATTTTCATTAAGTAAAATTAATAGAAAAAATAATATTTTAGTTATTGAATTCAATATATATATATATATATATATATGTTATATCAATGAACCCAAAATTAGTTGCAGTTGGTGTGTGGCAGTGTTAAGGTGGGTGTGGAAGTGGGTTTGGTGAGAGAAAAACTAGGGGAAGAGGAAATTGATACAGTACAGTGGGTTAGAGTGAGGGAATAGAGAGAGAGTATAGAGAGGAGGAAGAACAATGGCAAAATGAATCAAGCAAAACAATTAAATCAACACACAAATACTACAAACAAATTTGTGAACAATGAGATCAATTCAAATACGAATTCATCAATAAATCTGTGAACATTTTTGATAATTTTACGTAGCAATTTGATCTCTACACTTTAAATCTAATTTTAATTTGCCTTGTTCGTCTAAATTAACGATTAAAATTAACAATTTTAGAATACTTTTCAATTTTCTAAGGTGTACACATAAACAAAATTAACAAAAATTTAGACAGGATGGTCAAATTGAAACTAGAGTTAAAGCGTAAAGATTAAATTATTCAAATTAAAATTATAAAAACTAAATTAAAATTTTGGTCAAATTACAAGGGTGAAGAGATGTAATTAGCTCAATAAAAAATATATCTAAAATAATGTATATTTGTAAAATTTATGAGAATAATAATAGATTTTTAATTAAAAATGAAAGCATCACAAAAAATTACTTTATTATATATTATTATTTTTTTCTATTAATAGAATTGATATGTAAAGTTTATAAAGTAACATATTATATTATTTTTTTAATAATTACTTATATGTTACGTAAATCAAATCGTTAATCTTGAGGTGGTACCAATGTTCCACTCCACATCATCAATCCAATATAATCTTGCCATGTCACTGCAAATAAATGAAAGTTTGAAAATGGGCAGAGTTTTATCCTGTATTTTGAGTTGGGTGCAAATTATATATTTAAAAATCATCACATAAGGTTCATAGTCTGTGAGTTAAAATGCACGTTAACTTTTCTTAACAGAACATATAAATTAACTATTATCACTTCATTTTCTTGTTGTTCTCTTTTTGAATTAAACCTGCAAATATTTTTGAGCTATATATGTATATCTATATACGTAGAGATATGAACATAAATCATTACCTGATATATTGATTGCCCAAATTTAACAATTTGTATATATATTGTAGGATAATTTTTACTGTATTTAAACAAATTAAATTCTGTTGTGTATTAAACAACAACCAGAATATAAAGAAATAAAGGAAATGAGAGAATTTGTTTGATTACAAAAATCAAACTCGAAATAAAAAAAAATAAAATAAAAACAGATTTTATTTTGTTACAAAAACAAAATTAAAATCTGATTTAAATAAATAACAAGAACATTGAAAATAAATTAAATAACTTACTTGATTTAATTTCTTTGAATTATAATCTGATCAAGTCCAGTGTTTGATACTGTATCCTTAAGACAGATTTATCCTCTCCACGGTGCTTTCAGAATTTGGACGTCTATCTCCCAGGATGAAATGATCTACTACAAACAATAGCAGCACTACAAATTGTTTGCCTTACGAACACACTAAGTGTTTACACTATTTCTTTTAGAAATTAAATGCAGCAAAATGCAGAGATTTATAGCAGAGGATGGAGTACGAAAATTGGAGTAAAATCCAAATGGGAGACTAGTCTATTTATAGATGTAAAGGTGGCTGCAGGTTTTGAATTGAACAAGTATGAAACCTGTTGGTTTTGAATTCAAACAGATTTAAATATGTTGGGTTCATAATTTAAACAGATACAAAAACGAGAAGGGCCCTGTTTGAATGTACGTTAAAAACCAAACTAGTTTATTTCGGGAAGGGCCTTGTTTGGATGTACAGTAAAACCAAACCAGTTTATTTCCGGTTTAATTTGAATTCTGGATTTTATTTTACCAAAAAATAAAATTAAATTCAAATATTTTTGGCCCAAAAAGATTAGTGTTTGGCCGAACAAGCCCAACCCAACCTCATACCACACACCCAAGCCCAGGCCCAGCCTAGCCGGACGGACGGCGGCGGCGCGCGCGAGTATGGTGATTTTTGGGTCCAATGGGTCTAGCCCATTTTGCAAATAACCTCTCTCTCTAAAACACTTGGGCACCCCTTGAGGCACACCCCAAGTATCAAACCCAAGCCTTATAAACCCATTCAAAACTTCCCACCAAATCAATGTGGGACAAGCTATTTTACAACCTTAAGGAATTTTCACCAAAACTCCATTTCCATGGAGCACACTTTGGCTTCAATTTTCCATTCATTCGGTAATGGTTTTGAGCAACCAAATATACCACGTGAATCACAACGCGGCATAGAACGCATTATCACTTTGACCCGTGAAAATCGACGCACGGGGCCCACCTAAAAAATAGACCAAATTTGAGAAACAATTCTGGTTTTACCCAGAATTTTATAACCATTTCCAACAATATTTGTTCAAAGCTTAACTATTTGTCTATTTGTTCAGATGTCACTTTTTATACACGTGTCACATATTTGTCCAACTATTTGTTCAAATGTTACATATCAGTACAAATATCATTTATATAACTACGATTCCCAACCGAGATGATTCACTCCGGTTGGAAGAGTTGATGACTTGCTCAACTTAGGATTCCCAACAGAGATGATTCACTCCGGTTGGAAGAGTTGATGGGGAATTTAGCCTCTTCATTCTCATAGAACCGGCCCCAGTTCAACACTCATATAGGTGATTCTTATTGTGAGTATCTCTTTATACTCATCTTGATTTTATGCCTTAATCAAGATATAAGTAATCATTAAAAGCAAAGCTTATCCTTATACCCCTGCATACAACATGTGTTGCAAATATCACTCTTACCATAGGAATGGGTAGGGAATTTTTAATCCCTTGGTGATTTCTAGCGAGCCATACATAACTTAGTTGTCCCTTTGAACTTAGTTCTTGGGATCTCCAGTCACATAAATAGGGTTACCATTATGACGACTCTTATGTAATAGGCTTTAATCCCATCCCCTTCGATGAACTATACACTAGCTCTTTTGTCAAACCTTTTATTAATGGATCCGCAATATTCTCTTTAGATTTTATATAATCTATAGAGATTATTCCATTTGACAACAACTGTCTAACGGTATTATGTCAACAACGAATATGTCGTGACTTACCGTTATACATATGATTATGTGCCCTGCCTATTGCAGATTGACTATCACAATGAATGCAAATAGCTGGCACAGGTTTTGGCCACATTGGAATGTCTTCTAAGAAGTGACGAAGCCATTCTGCTTCTTCTCCTGCTTTGTCTAAAGCAATGAACTCGAATTCCATTGTGAATCGTGCGATGCATGTTTGTTTCGTGGATTTCCAAGAAACAGCAGCACCTCCCAGAGCAAAGACATATCCACTTGTGGATTTTGAATCTTTAGTATCCGATATCCAATTTGCATCACAATAACCTTCAAGAACTGCTGGATATCGAGTAAAGTTCAAGCTATGATCACGGGTGAATCTTAGATATCTAAGAACCCAAATGATCGCTTTCCAATAGTCTTCTCTGGGGTTACTAGTGTACCTACTCAATTTACTGATAGCATAAGCTATATCAGGACGAGTACAATTCATTAGGTATATTAGGCTTCCAATAATTTGGGAGTATTTTAACTGAGACACTGCATCACCTTTATTTTTTGATAAATAAAGATTGACGTCTACAGGTATTCTAGCTAAATTCATATCATCCTTGATAAATTTATCAAGAATTTTCTCAATGTAATGTGATTGAGATAATGCATATCCGTCAGATGTTCTAGTAATTTCCATTCCTAATATAACATCTGCGACCCCCATATCTTTCATATCAAATCTTTTGTTAAGCATCTGCTTAGTTGATTTGATCATGTTTTGACTGCTTCCAATGATAAACATGTCATCCGCATAGAGACAAACTATGACATATCATTGGTCAGTGTTTTTAACATAGACGCATTTGTCACATTCGTTTATCTTAAACCTATTAGTAAGCATTGCATGATCAAATTTTTCATGCCATTGCTTAGGTGCTTGTTTTAATCCATAAAGGGATTTTATAAGTCGACAAACTTTTTTTTCTTGCCCTGATACTAAAAACCCTTTGGGTTGCTCCATATAGATCTCTTCATTTAGATCACCGTTTAAGAAAACTATCTTAACATCCATTTGATGTATTTCTAAATTAAACAATGTTGCTATAGAAATTATCATTCGAATGGAAGTTATTCTTGTTACAAGGGAATATGTGTCAAAATAGTCCAGACCTTTCTTTTGTCTGTAACCTTTAACTACAAGTCTTGCTTTATACTTGTCAATTGAACCATCTGCTTTCATTTTTCTCTTGAATATCCATTTATGTCCAAGAGATTTAGAACCTGGTAGAAGATCCACTAATTCCCAAGTATGATTTTGCATAATGGATTCAATTTCATTATTAACAGCCTTTTTCCACAAAGGTGCTTCAGGACCTGTCATTGCTGCCTTAAAGCTTTGAGATTCATTTTCTAACAGGTATGTCAGAAAATCTAGACCACAGGATTTTGATGTTCTCGCTCTCTTACTTCTTCTTGGTTCATCATCAGTTAAATCCTGTTGGTCGAGACTATTACTAGTCTCTTGTATTTGATTGTCATTAGTCTCTTGACTTTGTGTACAATCATAAGTTCTTTTCC